ACAGGCTAATGGACTGAGAAATGAGGGGCCAGAGGCCAAGGGGTTGACAGTGAAACACTGAACATGTCTCTAATGGGTCAATGTGAGAGCGAGGGTAGAGAACCTTGTCCATGATCTCACAGACGATGGCCTTTAAACTAGAGCGCACACCAGGGTCATTTTGAAATTTAGATTCCTAGGCCCCCTACCAGGAGAAAATCCCAATTTGGAAAAATCAATGTATCTGTGGTTTCAGAAAGCAAGTATCACCATAGAAAAATCTAGAAGGAGAGCAGCTCTGTCTGTGAGCACCAAGGGACAGAGCGGAGCACCTGGTGTCATCAACGAACGTGGCATGCTGAGTCACGGCTCACCAGCCTCAGCTGAACAACCCCTGCCCCAGAGGACTGGCTCCCTCAGAGGCCACCCCCTGTGTCTTAGGAGGAACATGGGGTCCTGTCTTACCACATCTTCGGGCCACTGGTCCTCACTGAGCTCCTAGATGAGGAGGAGTCTAATTGTTCCTCCAGGGAAGATTCCTGAGGGGCTGATGACAGTTTTCATTTCCTGCTGTGTCTTCTCCGGGTTAAATCTCTGGGTGAGGGCCCCACGGTGGGCTTGCTCCTATTTGATTCTCCTGTGAGGTCTGGACATTGCTCCCTGGTTAAGTCAGCCAAAGGCCAGCCAGCCCCGTGTGTCAGCCCGTCATTCTGCAAGTAGAGCCCCTAGCGCAGCCGCGGCCTGGAGTCTCATCCTCCTCAGCCTTTCTTTGGCTTCATCCAGAGAGGTGAGAGTCTCTTTCCAAAACACTAATCCCACCCCTCCTCTGCTTTTTCTTGAGTGTGTGTCTGTGTGTGTGTGTGTCTGTGAGTTTGTGTGTCTGTGTGTGCCTATGAGTGTGTGAGTATGTGCCCATGCTTACCTCCTGTGTGGAGGTGAGAGGATAACCTCAGAGGTTCGGCCTCTCCTGCCTTTGTTGAACTGTTGTGTGCGATCCCCACCTCTCCTCTTGCTTCCTGGATGCTCGTGATGACAAACTTCTGCCACTGTATCAGGCCTTCGTGTAGGGTCTTGGGACTGGAACTCAGTTTGTCGTGTTTCCAAGGCAAACGCTGCAGTCACTGGGCAGTCTCCAGCCTCACTTGAATCATCGTCGTAGCTCAGTGCCAGGGATAGAACCGGGGACATTATACGTACGAGGCAAGCCCTACAGCTCTACACTGGGAACCTGACTACAGGGTGTCCCTCAGCACTGAACATCATATGGCTTGGTGCTGATTTGGACCTGCTGCCTCTTGAGGCCAGATCCGCTCACATCCAAACCTGGGTTCTGCTGCTTTTCCCTAAGGACCCTCTGTAATGCCAGAGACTCTGAGCAAGGTGGAGCTGGCTTCTAATCCCCACTCTGCCCATGGCTCCTGGGGCAATTGATCCTCAGGTCTTTCATCTGCCCAGAGTGTCCTGTCTCAGGTCTGTGCTGAGTCTGCTTCAAATGTCACAGCGTGTACTTCTTTACCACTGCTGTGACCAAGCGCTTGATAGAAACAATCGAAGGAGGGAAAGATTTATGCTGCTCCCTAGCGTTGAAAGGTTCACCCCATGGTTCCCTGGCCCCCAGGATTGGATGGAACATCTTGGTGGTGGGTAGGACTGCTCATGTCCTGGAAGCAGAGAAGGAGTAACAGAGGGAGTGACCAGCGTAGGGTATGTCCTAAGGACGGGACCCAGTAACTACTCTCTCTAGCTAGGCCTCACTTCATGAAGTTCCTACCACTCCCAAAATAGCATCACCACCTAGCAACGAGGTACTCAACACATGAGCCTCTGGGGACAACCCATATTCGAGCCCTTGCAACAGCCA